AAGAAAATGTGGTACATATACACAATGGAATATTACTCAGCCATAAATAAGATGAAATTATATTTTTGCTGGTAAATGGATGGAAAAGGAGGCTATCATGCTAAGTGAAATAAGCCAATCCCAAAAAATCAAAGACCGAATGTTCTGATATATGGATACTGACTCTCAATAGGCAGGGAGTTGGAGGGGGGTCAGAAATAACTTTCCTCTGTTCAAATATGAATACATGACCAGTGAAACGTCACATCATGTACAATTGCAAGAATGGGAAGTTAAATTCCATGTATGTGTATGTCAAAATACATTCTACTGTCATATATAACTAAAAAGAATAAAAAGCTTGGAAAAAAAAGAACTGAAATGGCTTTTCTGACTCAATTCATATTTTGCCAACAATAATATGAGGACAGTTATATCATAAGGTAAAAATGTACGCATTTACAATTAAAGCAAACTCTAGGAAAAGTGTAACTCCAAACTAAATATTCTACTTAAACAATCTCTTCCACAAAAATCTCCATGCACTCCTGCTTGTTTCTTAAGTCATGCTAGTTTTACCCCTCCTTGCTATTCAAGAATTTCTCTTAAAATGTGTATACTCCTTACAAACATTGCTTCCTGGAGGCATCATGTCTTAATCATCTGGAGTCTCAGTGCCTAGCACTGGGGTTTTGACCACAGCTGACCTTCAGCTAATAAAAATGTGTGAATTAAAACAGCTTTCTGCTTTTGGTGAAGTCCGACACAACTAAGGTCAATCAACTCCTACCTATAATTAGAACTCAAAATCTTGGATATAATAGAGCACACATGGGACTGGGAACCAGCTCTGTAATCCTGAATAAATCAAGAATCACCAAGGTTTTAAGTTTTGAGGAGGAGGAACTTTGTATCACAGTAAAGTCCTATCAGTTTGCTCCAATGCCTAGCCATTAGGTAATCATTACTGACACAGCCACCCTGCACCTATATGCAAAACTCTCACTTCATAATGATGCAGAGATCCACTTTAAACAAAAGTCAAAATCAGAGTTTGTCAGGTCCGCCTACAACATCTCCCATTCTACACAGAGAAGTGGACTCTGCAAAGGCACACCAGGAAACTGATCTTTGTAAGCTTGCCTAATAGGGGCTCTTCTCTCCTACTTTTAAGAGCAGGGATAGGAATTCTGGCAGGCCTTATCAGCAAGTAAAGATTGGGAATGTTCCATTCATGCTGCTCCTTCAAAATTTCTAGCATAACAGCAAGGTGATAAAAGGTTTTCCAAAATCAGACCCAAAGGAAGAGGGGTAAAAAAAACCCAAACAACTTAGTTTATGATGAAAACAAGAAACAAAAATGGGTTGAGTTGTAATTATTATTATTATGGTACCAGGGATTGAACTCATGGGTACTTAACCACTGAGACATATCCCAGCGCTTTTTTTTTTTTTTTTTAATATTTATTTAGAGACAGGGTCTCACTGAGTTGCTTAGGACCTTGCTAAGTTGCTGAGACTGGCTTTGAACTCATGATCCTCCTGCCTCAGCTTCCCAAGCCTCTGGGATTACAGGTGTAAACTGTAATTATGTAAGTAAAAAACAGTTCAAGTTTCCTCTTGAGACAAGAATTAAATATAACAAATTGTCCAGCTCGATAGTGCTATTCAGTAGATTTTTCTTTGGTGGCACACAACACCTGTGCTACCTGGTAAGGCAGCCACAAGAAACGTGGCTCTTGAGCATTTGGAACGTGGTCAATATAAGTGAGAAAATGAATTTAAAACTTTATTAAAATTTAATTAATCCAGAATCAAGTTGGTCACAGGGCCTACTGGCTCTGCAAAGCACAGCTCAGCTCTAGATTCTCTCAATGATTTTCAACCAGAGGCAATTCTTTCCATCCATAGTGGACAACGGCCTCCACCAGAAACCATTTTTAGTTGCCACAACTCTGGGGAGAGAGTACTACTAGCATCTGGACAGTGGGAAGTCAAGGATGCTGCTAAACATGTTGCAATACACTGGACAGGCCCCACAACAAGGAATCATCTAGCCCAAAAGGTCAGGATTGCTGAAGTTGGCAAACTTTGTCCAATGTTTGCTCAAGGATGGAATTAAAGTAAATTCAAGGGTCAGGTGTGGTAGCACGTCTGTACTCTCAGCTACTTAGAGAGGCTGAGGAAGGAGTATCACAAGTTCAAGGCTAGTCTTGGCCATTAGTGAGATATAGATCTTGTCTCAAAATAGAAAATAAAAAAGGTAAAGATGTAGCTCAGAGGTAAAATGCCCTGGATTCAAATCCCCAGTATTGCAAAAAATAAAGTAAACCCAAGGCAAACTGCAGTACACTTTGTTTAAACACAATACCCAGGAAGAGATTTTTCAAGTAATAGGAAAAAGTATAAAGTTGCAGACCTTACTAAAAAGTGTACTATGTGTTATGTGGTGAATAATTTATTAAGATTGTCAACCATTAGTAATTACTTCCTGTGGCATTTTTTCACTTGAATATTAACATAAGTAAACACTGAGATTATTCTACAGGGCCCTGTTTTAAGTTGGACATAGAGTACTGAAGGCTCAAGAGCCCAGCCCTACTCCTGCTCTCCTGCTTGAATCCCTCTCAATCAAGCTACATGGTTTCTTAAAACATCCCTCATTTCAGATACAAGAAAGCTGATACTCTTATGAAAGAAAAACATATCAATATAAGAAAGTGGTTCTGTCATGGCAGGACTGCACGTTTACATACTACCCCAAGAAAGAGCAAGGGTACAGAATTATATTTGAACCAAAGGAAATGTAAGGAGTGATTCTACTAAATGATGACAGCATACCCCCTCTCTGATTATAGTACTTGAAACTTTAGATGATGAGTATGAAATAACACTGTGGTTTCTACAGCCATATAAATTATGCATAGATTAGTTTAAATAGGATCATTCAGAACTGTTGAGATAGCTCTCAAATTTATGTTAGCAGTGCAGAAATTAACCCAGAATAGTCTATTCCTCAAAGAAACGGGAATAATGGACACAATTCAAAGTTTCACTTTGATTCAAATTATTTTTCAGAACACAAGGCATCAGAATTCATAATATGGCAATACCTTTTCTTTTCTACCCACTGAGCATTAACAGAAATTGTTCATTATAAGTTAAATTTCCTATTATTTCATTAAAAAAAAAGAAACACAATCCTAGCTCTAAAAAACTTACATTCAGAATTTTCACACTGGCCTAAGGCAAAAACTTCCAGTCTACATATTCTGAATTCCTAAGTTTTGTGCAATTTTGTGACAACCCCACCTTTAACCATGCTGGAGTTCCAGTACCTCTTCAGGTCTTCATTTGGAGAGTTTAAGATCTTTTATCATCAATTAACATTTAGGGAGTATCCACCATAATCTACTAATCAAATGTCAGAAAAGTAATATTTAAAGCAGGATTCCAACCCACTCTGTTTTGCAGATTTGCTTATGAAGCGCTATTTTTAGAGGAAAAAAAAATCACCCATTTCTTTCAGGTTTCTAACTGAAAGACACAAAGCCCACCTCACCTTCTTATGAAATTGGAAGCAACACAGAAGAGACATTTTTAGCATCATTTTATATTCAACTACTATGTTACACACATGATCTTGACCAGGGTTTCTCGGGCTCAGTGCTACTGACATCTTGAGTCAGATAATTCTCTGGTGTGGGTGGTTGTTCTGCGCAGTGGAGAAGTTTAGCATCATCCCACCCCCACCTTGTGACCATCTAAAATATCTTCATTTGTTGCCACTGACCCTCAGGGAACAAAATTGCTCATGGTTGAGAACCACTGATCTTGAATGAAATTCGAAGTTCTAACAGGTAGGCATTGTGCTAATCAGAATACTTACTTAAGAAAAAGATACTATCTTTTCCTTTTCTTGTCTTCCATCCAATTTATGTTAAACAACCAAGGAATAGGCTATACCACTGTGTGCCTGTGAAGCTATCTGGCTCAACTTCTACAAATTTCTGCCTTCAATTCTCAGTGACAAATGAACAAATCTATGGCAGCTGCTGCTTTGAAAACAAAGTATGTTATTTCTGGTCCATTCAACATTAAAAGGAAGCAATCTTTAAACACCAGAATTGCTCCTGAATTCCACGTGTAAGAAAAACTTGTCTGCATCAAACTGGACAAACAGAATCCCAAGCTGGAAAGAATAGGGCTCTGAGGAAAGACAATGTCAGGCACCGAAGGCAGGACTCCATTAAGAAACCCAAGCACCTGTTCTCATTTACAAGCCCTAGATCGGGACAATTAGAGACCATTTCAACCGCCAGAGCAATCAGCCTGGTACATCACGCTGCTGTTCTCTCCAAGGGAAATCAGGGTAAAGAGCTGGTGGATGAGGGGTTGACGCCAAGGTCTCTTCTGGACGGCAGAAGGGAGGAGCCAAGAAGTTGTGGAGCAGCTGCAATCCCCGAAAGTAAATTCAGTCTATGAAATACCCACCCCTTTTTGGACCCCCGAGGTCCCTTCCCGGGGTTAAAAAATCAGAATCACGTGGGGGAACTTGTTAACCATGCAAATACGAGTCCAACCCCCCCAGAGGTTCACACCCTAGGGCTGAAATTTTGTGTTTTTACTAAGGGCCCTGTGCACGCTGAAGTTGCAAGGCCACTGCCCTTAACAATTTTCTTCCGAACTTGGAAACCATAGAAAACCTTGCAATTGGCTTCGAAACCACTGGGGCTTCTTTCCTGGCGCTCGCGGGATCCAAACTGGTAGCCGCCGTCACCCGAAGGGGCCTGCCCAGGCTCAGGCCGGCCCCTCGCGGAACCTCGGCAGGCCCTGAGGTCGGCCGCAGCAGAACCCGGCCGTGACGTGGCCAGGCCCGGCCGCACGCCCTCGCGGCCAGACCTCCTCGGCGGCCGGTTAGCCCCCGGCCCCTCCCCGGGTCACAGTGGCAGCTCGCGGGGAAACAGTAGCCCCGGAGGCGGGGGCCTGGGCCACAGCGCCGTCCTACCCGCCCGACGGACCTTCTCTAGGGACGCGTCCATGGCTCAGGCGGCCGGCGGAGTCCGGTGGGTGGCCCGGCAGTCCCGGGCGCTACTTCCGCCTCCCGCGCCCGGCGGTGGTTTCCACGCTGGCAGCGCTGACGTCCCCCGCGCCCGCGGCCGGCGGGGCGGAGACGAGGAGGAGCTGCCGGGCGGCGCTGCCGGGTGGGGAACCTGCCGGGTGCGGGAGGCGAGGCGGGGCAGGGCCCCGTCGGGGTGGGCGTGGCCCTCTAGGCTTCCGTACCTGGCCGTCACGCCAACCAGCCCTAACGCTCCCAGGTGAGAGGGGGAGACTATTTGGTGGAACCGTAACAAATTCACTTTGTTCAGAAGTCTGTCGCAATCACTGAGGTTGAAGTAAAATAATCACAAATTGTCATTCGTGTAGTTAAGGTCTGTAAATAACTAGTGACGCACCTGCAGTTTCCGGTTCAGGCTTCCAAGTCTTTCCCACCCTCAGCATCCCTCAGGAATGGGATAGGCCATTCACCTCAGGAGGGTGGGGCGGGCGAGCATCCTCGCGCATGCGCAGGATCGACGGCGACCAGCGAGCTCTAGGATGTTTTTTAACGAATTCTGTTCCCAGAGGGCGCTGGTCAGAGCCCGAGTGATTGTCTCAGATCTTCCCACAGTACTCTAGACCGAGGAGATTTTGAGGCAGCTGGTCCAGCTTCCTCCTTCATGTCACAATTAAGACTGTCGGGTGAGGGGTAATAAATCTGCTGTTATATCACAACAGCCCCCAGATGTAGGAAGCCTCGGGAACCTCGTCTCGCAGGTCAGTTGTGGCCAGGGTTCTTCCCAGTCTCCCTCACCCGGTGATGCCCCCGTGGTCGCTCCGCTCAGCCGCAGGAGCGGCCGGTTTCTGACGAGTGCGCGGCGTGATCTGCGAGCACCGGTGTCTCCAGTGAGGGAGGCCGAGGTTCTCAGCCCTCGTGCAGCTGCAGGCGGTCGCCCTGGCCCGCTCGGAGACGACGACGGTGCAGCCACAAAACCATTCCTTTTCTCTCCTGTTCATACCCTTCTCTTCCGAAATCTGTGTAAATGGCCGCTTTTTCCACGTAACAATCACATATTTTGAGCTATCTTGTATTTTAGTTAATTGCTCCATTGATTACATTATTTTCTAGCAAAGGAAACCTGCGTGCTCGTTTGCAGTGTACAATAGAAAATGTGTGACTCTCCAAAGAGCTCTGCAAACGAAAGCAATGATCAAGTTTATACCCTCCAAGAGCTGAAAATTGTGCCTACGTTTGAGTAAGGCAAGTCACTTTCCCTGTGAAATTATGAAAATTTTCAAATACTGAGAAAAGGTCAAAAGAATTGTACAACGAACAACCCACGTTTCCACTACCTCGAATCTGCGGTTAACCCCTCCGGTCAGAACTAGTGGTGAAGGGATTGAACCCAGTGCCTTGTCCATGGTAGGCCACATCCCCAACCATACAATTAACACTTTTTTTTTTTTTTTTAAAGAGAGAGAGTGAGAGAGAGAGAATTTTAATATTTATTTTTTAGTATTTGACGGACACAACATCTCTGTTTGTATGTGGTGCTGAGGATCAAACCCAGGCCACACGCATGCCAGGTGAGCACTCTACCGCTTGAACCACATCCCCAGTCCTAACACTTTTCTTTTATCTGCCTTATCACTTATAGTATCCATATACTCATCCATCCACACATGTTTTGGAACATTTAATCTTTGATCACCCAGGTGTAATTAAAGACTAATGTTATATGGCCAGTGGCACAGGCCCTTAATCTCAGCTACTCAGAGGCTGAGGCTGGAGAATCCTATCACCAGTATGGGCATCCTAGCAAGACCCTGTCTCAAAATAAACTTTGAAAAAAAGGACTGGGGACATGTTTCAGTGGTAGAATATTCCTGGGTTCAATCTGTAGTACCAAACAAGAAAAAAACCTGGTAACTTTAAAAGCCACTTCCAATTATCTTTGGATTCCTTTACAAAGTAGATTCTACAAATCATGCTGTAGAGATAAAAGTTTATTGTTTTAAAAGTAGCCTTTGAAACCCCAACAGGAAAAATGGGAAAATTTGGTTCATTTAAAATTTAGCCAAATATTGATAGCCAAACAGGACAGTTAGGTGTTAGAAATGTATACTAAACAAGATCCCTGCCCTTAAGGGAAACTATTTTGGGCAGAGGTCTTTTAATCTTGGGCCAGATGGTCTGTGAGACTATACCCAAAATGTTGTGTGTAAGTACATTTTTTCTGGGGAATGTAAAATGTCCATAGCTTTAATACTCTCCCTCTTCCACTCCAGCTGATAAACTATAATGCAGCATTCTTTGGGGCATTAAAGAGTTATGAATACAATATTATGGGAATCCAGAACAGTAAACCACTAATTGTGGGCAAATTTAATCTCCATTGATATATGTCTTATATGTGTTGTTAACAGACCTTTCTTGATTAATGGGTAAAAAGGAAACCAAGAATTACGTGACTGTTTTTCCATTTGGATCCATTCACATGATTTTATTGTGACCTAGGTAATAATTTCAACCATATTGTAGGTGAATATTTTAGACTTTAAGTTTTAAAATCGACCAGCTGATACATATGAATGATTTAATTATTAATTCACCATTGCAGTGCAAAAATTTTAAATTACCAAAGAATGGCAAGTGAGTAATGGGGTAAGTGGAATCACCGATGTCTTCAACTTCATCCCAGGGAGTAAGTAGATATTTCTAGAAAGGCTAAATGAAGACACAGAGCTTTAAATACAATATTTGGACATAAAGAAAACCTCTAGAGGAAATAAAATTAACAGAAATCAGGCATTGCAGCTGGTAAGAGAAATAATGTAAATGGCAATAAATTTCTTATTTTGACAGTATGGAGTCAGTAGGTTCTAAAGAAACTTACAAGGTTTTGTTTTTTACATAAGTGGAAGTGTTTATAGCATGGGGTTAGGGGATGAAGATGTGGAAAAAGAAATGGCAATGTTAAATTTTATATTATTCTGCACTGTTTGGATTTACATTATCTGTATGCTTTTCTCTTTTGGATTAGAATTTTTTTTTTTTTTTAAGTAAATAGCTTGGAAGAAGAAGCCAATTTCAATCATTTTTGAATCACCTGAGCTACTTCAGAAAAGTCTACAATTCCTAACAGCAACTCAAGGTGGCAGCCTTGAGATGGATTGTCTTTTCTCCTGTCATTAGTGAGAGTTGTTGCTATAAAGAATATACATGGTAAAAAAAAAAAAAAGAATATATATGGTTGTTTATATTTCAGTTTCATGTTTTATTTATATTTTTATTAATTTTTAATAAATTTTTAAAATTAATTTGGCCAATATCACTTCCCAACATTTACCCCCTCCCTCCTCTCCTTCCTCCGGCTGGTGCCTTTCCTCTTCTACTGATCTCATTTTGATGTTCATGAGATGCCCCCCTCTTGCCTTTCTTTTCCCTTTTCTTCTATAGCTTCCACATATGAGAGAAAACATATCTTTGACCTTCTGACTTTGGCTTATTTCACTTAATATAATGTTCTCAAGTTTTCCTGTAAATGACATAATTTTATTTTTCTTTATGGCTGAATAAAACTCCATTGGTGTATATGTACCGCATTTTCTTTATTCATTTATCTATTGATGGATACCTAGACTGGTTCCATAGCTGTTATAAACATGGGTATTTGTGTATCACTATTGTATGCTGACTTTAATTTTTCAGGATAAATATAAAGGAGTAGTATAGCTGGGTCATATGGTGGTCCCATGCCTGATCTTTTTTTTTTTTAAAGACAGAAGATTTTAATATTTATTTATTTATTTATTTTTTAGTTTTCAGCGGACACAACATCTTTGTTTGTATGTGGTGCTGAGGATCAAACCCAGGCTGCACACATGCCAGGCAAGCGCGCTACCGCTTGAGCCACATCCCCAGCCCATCCATGCCTGATCTTTTGAGGAACCTCCATACTGATTTCCATAGTGGTTGTACTAATTTACACTCCCATCAACAGTGTAGAAGTTCCTTTTTTCTCCACATCCTCTCTAGCATTAGTGTTTGTATTTTTTTTCCTGGTATTTTGATGTAGATTACATTGAATCTTACATTGTTTTTGGTAGTATGAACATTTTAACAATATTAACTCTGCCTGTCCATGAACATGGACAGTATTTCCTTCTTCTGAGGTCTTCCTCAATTTCTTTCTTCACTGTTCTATAGTTTTCATTGTAGAAGTCTTTTCACCTCCTTGGTTAGATTTATTCTAAGGTATTTAATTTTTCTGAGGCTATTGTGAATGGGATTGTTTTTCTTATTTCTTTCTCAATGAATTCATCATTGGTGTATAGGAAAGATACTGTCTTTTGTATGTTGATTTTATATCCTGTCACTAAGATAGTGTTAAGGGAAAAATTTTTATTCAGATATGCATAAAAGATCTGGGCTGTTGATGCATGCCTGTAATCCCAGCTATTTGAGAAGCTGAGGCAGGAGGATCACAAGTTTGATATCAGTCTGGGAAACTTAGCAAGACCCTGTCTTAAAATTTAATAAATTTAAAATGGGTGGGTAATGTAGCTCAGTGGTAGAGCAGACCTGGAAGTGATCCCCAGTTCTGCAAAAATAAATGAATGAAAGAAATTAGTTATCATTGACTGACCTATAACCTGCCCCCATGAAAGGAAACCACTAAAAAACCCTATAAACCTAATAGAGTCCCCTCCCAAGTCCAGGTCCCTTCACCCTAGAAAGAATATTAACCACTAACTTGATAGCACTCCTTCCTATGTTTCCTGTGTAGTTTTTTACCTAAACAAGCTTCCCTAAACACTAGCTTTGCTTTTTCAAAAAGATAGCTTTTCCATACCTTTTAACTCTAGGTTTTCCCTACCCCCTCTCTTTTTCTCCCTTGCAATGGATTTATTGAAGATTCCAGATTATTGTTCTAGAATTTCCCTTGGTCAGGATATTTCTGTGGTCTCTGTATTTTCTGCAACTTGGTAGTTTGATCTAGGCTTAATTGGACTCAGGTTTGAAGTTTTAGGGAAATATTCAGGGATATCACTATGTTGTTGATCAAGAGGTTTATAGTATCTGCTTATTTATTTGGGTTGCTAGCATCCATGAATCTTTTTATTTATTTTGCAGTGCTGGGGATAAAACTTAGGCCTTTGTGCATACCAGGCAAACACTCTACCACTGAGCT